CAACCTTCCAACTCCGGCTCAGCGATCCTCCTGCCTCAGCCTCCCGAGTAGCTGGGACTCAGTGCGCCACCATCGGCCCCAGAGTCATTTTTCTATATATACTTATTCAGGTTGCCAATTAATTTCTTCATTTATAGGCATGAGACGGGGTCTCCCTTTTGCCCAGGCTGTTCGACACTCCTACCTCGACCATCCTCAGTGCCTCCGCCTTCGGCTCCCCAGAGGAGCTAGAATCAGGGCGTGAGCCACCGGCCACCCGGCCCAGCGGAGTCAAGTCGGTTAGGTTCCCTGCACTCATTGCCATAAGGCGGATCACCGCGAAGCCTTCAGACAAGTTGGCCTGGAAACCAGATTTTAATCATTCTGCGTTTCCCATTAAAAATAGTCTGGACAGCAAACTGTTTCATTCAGACAGACTGAAATTCAGATTTTTGCAAAAGTTGTGCAAAGAAAACGTTTTTTCTTTTTTTAAGAGATACGTGATTAATAATTAATGAGGAGAATTTCAGCTGCAATAAAAGAAACTAAGAGGTCAGATAGAGGGTGACAGTTCACGTAGAAACTCGTATTAAACATTTATTCGGTGAGCGGATCATCTGCACACGAGGGCTGCTTACGGACAGTTCAGTAAAATTTCCAGTACCCTTTGGGAATCGTACGTTTTCAGATGTATGACGTCGTGGTCGGTGAACGCCTTCCACGCCTCGGAGAACAGGTCTTCATGGTTGATACTTCCTTTTTTTTTTTTTTGAGACAGAGCTTCCTTGTGTGCCGACAGGCCTAGAGTGGAGTTGCCCTGGCTCAGCCTCGCTCACAGCAACCTTCAACTCCTGGCTCAAAGCGATCCTCCTGCCTCAGCCTCCCGAGTAGCTGGGACTACAGGCATTGGCGCCACACAATGCCCGCTAATTTATTCTTATATATATTAGATTGGCCAATTAATTCTTATCTATTTTAGTAGAGACGGGGTCCATATCGCTCTTGCACCAGGCTGGTATTCGAATTCTGACATCAGCGTCCTCCGCATCGGCCTCCCAAGAGTGGCTGGGATGACAGACATGACCAGGCCGGCCAAATTCACCTCCTCTGGTTGGCTGGTCTGTGTTTTCCTATAACCATGACAGTCAGCGCACTGGTTTGGGGTCCGAAGACCTAGGTTAATTTGGCTCTGGATTTGCCGAGCTGGGAAGATCCTGGAGAAAGTGTGGACTTTCTTAAGCCATTGTCTCCCTTATGCAATGAGAGCAGCAATGCCTAACGACTTACTCGGCCTGGCCGGCGCGGTGTCACGCCTGTAATCCTAGCTCTCTGGGAGGCCGAGGCAGGAGGATTGCTGAGGTCGGGAGTTTTCCAAAACCCAGCCCCTGGAGCAAGAGCCGAGACCGTCTTACCTATAAACAGAAACAAATTATTGGCCAATAATATATATAGAAAACCTAGCCCGGGCATGGTGGGGCGGCGTGCCTGTAGTCCGCCCAGGGCCCACTCGGGGAAGGGCCTGGAGGCCAGGGAGGATGCTTGGAGCCC